ATTGGGAGAGAGCCCAGAGGGGCTCGCTGGCCTCTGCTCTCTGGTGTCTGTGGCCTCGGTGCAGCGCCGTGAAGGCTGGAGGCTGGGCCCCTGCAGGCGCCTCACGCACAGGTCTGGCGGGAGATGCTGGCTGCTGGCTGCTCACTGGGCTGGGCCGTTGGCTGGAACCCCTCCATGGGGCCTCTTGGCTGCTCCACCGTATAGAAGCTGGCTCTGTACAGTGGGGAGTGACCCGGGACAGTGCCCAGGGAAAGCCGGCTCCCCGTCTCTGGCTTGGCCTTGGAAACCCCGGCACCACTTCCACCACATTCTACCGGCAGAGCAGTGACAAAGGTCTGCCCGGGCCCAAGGGGAGAGGACACGGGTGCCCGCTCTGGATGGAGGGCGGTTGCTGTCACACTGGAAGAAGAGCACACAGGGGTGTGGCCATTTTTGTAAAACACAATCTGCCACACTATGTGATCTCTGATTCCTCAAAAAACACCGAGGGTCTCTATTATTATCTCCGTTCTAGAGATGGATAAACTAAGGCTCACAGAGGCAATATAACTTGCCTTGGGGACTTTAGTTAACCCCCCTGAACTTCAGTCACCCACGCTATGAAACGGGTGGAAAAATCTCTTCCTGAATGGATTAAGGCGAGCCTGCAGTCCTCATGGCCTTATGGGGGTGTTGGAAGATTGAAGTTGGGCAAGTCTTCCGTGAACTCTCACACCGTGCGTGAACGCAAAGCACCAATCTTGATCGCCGCGGCACCGTGACCTCCTCCCCTCCCCCTCCAAACACGGGGGACGCGCAGCCCCGCAGCCGCCTGGGACCCGAGTCTCCATCCACGTCCCGCCAGGGCCAGGCCCGACACAGCGCTTGGCTCGGGCTCACTCCGTGGCAGCGGAGGAGCCTGCTCCCCTCTCCCCTTCCCTGCCTGCTCCCATCCTCCGGGAGGAGGAGTAGCCTGGGAAGAATGTGAACGTTTGTTTCTAAATTCCAAACATGTAACCCTTCCCAACTTGGCTAGTCGGCTGGGAGCGAGCGGCCCTCCGGTCACAGTCCCGACGGCCTCCTGTGGCCCTGCGCACCCTCCCAGGGGGCGGGAGGGGGGGGACGGGCACTGTTGCTCCACTTCACAGGCACGGCGGCGGGGGGGGGGGGGCTCTTCCAGCCCCTCAATGGCCCACGAGCCATCCTTGGAAAACCTCTCCTCTGGGGATTCATCCAGGCCCTGTGTCCCTCATTGTCAATCCACCCGCAAGGTCTAAGGCCTTAAGAGACTTCCTTTGCTATGATGTCCATTAAACGGACAATTTACTCTCCTGTTAATATGATTCAATTAGTAAAGGGTGGGGGGAAGGGGACTTAGGCTGCAGAGTGTCACTTCATGGCCTGCTGGGCTGGCTGCCCGACAGTGGTGGAGGCGGCGGTGAGGGGGTGGCAGGACTCGTCCGGCAGGCAAGGTTGGGCTGCATCCACTTCCCCGGGGACTGGCGTCGCTCAGGGTGACCCCCAGGACCTCGGGTTGCAGGTGACTGCGTAGAGGAGGTGAGCTGTTCTGTCTTAGAGCAGGACCGGGCTCAGCCGCGGCCGCCTGGGCTTTGCGATCTGGAAGGGCCAGCTTTGCGTCTGGCTCTGGCCCTCGGAGCTTGGCGGCCGTGGACCAGTTCCTTGCAGCAGCCGGGGCTCAGATCCGGCTTCTCCACCTTGCTGTCTGGTAAGGTGAGGGGCGGAGGCATCGTGCCTGACAGCAAGGAAAGTCCCGAAGTACCCGGTGTGTTTTCCTCGCTGATTTTTAATCCTTACAAGCAACCACTTTACAGATGAGGAAACAGGCAGAAATCTAGAAGCCTGGTTTCGCCTGCCAACGCTGACGCTCACTTGCCTCGCTGAAAGGAACGGATCCCGGCCATGGCTCCGCACTCGACTCTGGGGGGCCGCCTGGCAGCGCAGGCGGCCCTGCCCCTGGCGAGAAGCCGCTGTGGAGCTCTGACTGATCCCTGCTTCTGCCTGACTGGTCTTTCAAATGGAAGTTTCTTTTTCCCTGCCCCAAATCGCTACCATCTCCAATCCGCATCACTACCCTGGATAAAGTCAGGTTTAACATCCCCCCAGCACAGATGAGAAAACTGAGGCTCAGAGAGCTGCCAGGACTTGGCCGGGGCCACGCAGCACGCAAGGGCCAAGGCAGGAGGGCTTGGGAGCTCCAGCAGCGATATGCCAGTCCCCTGGGGGCTGACATCCCTCCTCCAGCGCCAACTCCTCCTCCCTCCCCGAGTCAACAAAAGGAAAACCATGTCTCTTGTTCCTGTACCTCCTCCAGCTCAGAGAGACAGAGTGAAAAGGGGCTGCCAAATTCACCAAGATGGCCTTTCCCGGCTTCCAGCTCTTCCAGCTCTGCTCTCTGTCGTTGTTTGAAACCTGTTTCCCAGGAGGCTCTGGGAAATGCAGGTGCAGGGGCCTGGGCAGCAGCGGCTGCCGCCCTCGGTCCCTCTGGGGCCGGGTACCTGCTCGGGAGCTTGCGTCCTGAGGCTGTGTGCTCAGACTTGACCATGTTTGGGCATGGAGGCTTATCTCAGACGGGACCAAAGGCCGCTTCCCTGGAGACAGAGACGGCTGGGAGCCCAAGCTTCCTGCCGGAGCTCAGGCGGCCCCTTTTGGGGTGAGGGCTGGGGGGCGGGCAGGCAGAAAATGTCAGCCTGCTGAAGACGGCAGGGCGCAGGGGAGACTGTGAGTACCCGGGACCGGGGCGGTTTCTCCACAGCCTGGGGCCGGAGGGGAGCAGAGAGAGCTTGGGAGGGAGGCCGGCAGTGGGAACTCCTTCCTCGAGGGGCTGTGCGCCAGGATTCTGGGCTCCAGGGGGGCTGACATTGGTGTCACTGGGGGCCAGAACTCCTGGCGTCTGGTGGTCAGCTTGGGGGCGGGGTCTGGGGCCCGGTCACTCTATTAACTCAGTGCCCTGGCCCTCAGGTGCCAGCTTCCAGAGAGACCGGAGGGCTGGGCGCAGCGAGCAGCCCAGGAAAACGTACTCCCTTGTGACACTGGGACGTCTCTGTTAGAGCGTAGGGGACCTCACTTCTCAGTGCACCCAGTGAGGGAGGAAAACTTGTCACTGGGCATCAACCCTGTCATTCATCTTGTAGGAAGTGACAGAGTTATATCCTTGGTGCTTGACCCTGGGCTCTCCTCTGTAGGATGAGAAGGGGCGGGGAGGGGGGCTGCAGGGGTGAGGTGAGGGGGCAAAGGGTCTCCGATGGGACACTTGGAACAGTCAATACACAGGAGAGACACCTAAGCAGAGAAGAAAGCACTTTGCTGGAAATCCTTTTGGACCAATGTCTCCCCTGGACACTCACTAATTCATTAAAAAAATAACATGTTTAGCCCTGGCTGGGTCGCTCAGTTGGAGCGTCGTCCCACACACCAAAAGGTCAGGAGTTCGATTCCTGGTCAGGGCACACGCCTAGGTTACAGGCTTCAGGGTGTACGGGAGGCAGCTGATTGATGTTTCTCTCACATCAATGTTTCCCTCTCTCTCCCCCCAGTCCTTCCTCTCTCTCTCTCTTAAAAAAAAAAAAATCAATCAATAAACATATCCTCCGGTGAGGATTAAAAAAACATAACGTGTTTATTACTTTAAAGACCTGGCAGGGAAAAGAAAAGTTCTTCTTGACCTCTGGCTAAAATGTCCTCTAACGCAGGGGATTTCAGAGACAGGGCCCGTGGCCCGGTATCTTCGCTGGGAAGGAACTGTGGTTACCTTAAACAAATAAACGCAACAAAGACACTCACCCGAACTCAATGGGGCAACTCACAGGACAGATGGGAAACCCACACAAGGGACAGAAGCTGGCAGCCATGTGGCACCAGGTGACTCACAGGTGATGAGTCACGCCCCTGGGGTGTTCAGGGTGCCGAGCGAGGGGGCGGGGGAGGAGGAGGGGGGGTGGCTGGCCTCTGCTTGCAGTGGGGGCGGAGGCCTAGGAGAAAAATGAGGGGGGCTGCTTCCAGAAGGAGGGGGAGGGAAGGGCGCTGCTGGCTCCTCTTTGCTTTGGCCTGGGTAGCTCCAGTCCCCGGATGAGACAGCAGTTGCTGAAGCCACCGAATGTCTTCTGCCCTCACCTGAAGAGGGCAGCGGCCCTCACAGGACCCTGACGCCTGGGCCCCCTGCCTGGACCCCGGCTGTGGGACTGCTCCTGGTTTTTCTGAGACAAGTGTCCGGGTAGAAAGTGCGCCGATGTCCCACCTCTGCCGCTTGCTGAACTTGTTTATCTCCTGTGTTCCTTTCCTGTTGCTGCCTTAGCGAATTACCATCAAGTTGGTGCCCCAAACAACAGAAATCTACTCGCGCAAAGTTCTGGAGGCCAGAAGCGCCACATCAGCAAGGTGCTGGTGGGCCTAGAGCCACGGGGCCAGCAGGGCTGTGCGCCCTCCAGGGGCTGCAGGGGACAGCCCGCGTCCCCCCCTCCTCTGCTTCTGGCGGCTGCCTGCAACCCCCGGCACTGGGTGGTGCTGCTCTGATCTCTGCCTCCCTGGTCATGTTACCTGCTCCTCTTCCGCGTCCTAGTCTCTGTTTGCCTCCTTCTTGTCAGGACACGCAGGTCTCTGTGGCTAATCCGGGTAATCGCCCCATCTCAGGATCCTTAATTTAACGTCTTTGCCAAGTAAAGTAATGGTCGCAGATTCCAGGGCTGAGAACATGGGCATCTTGGGGGCCACTGTTGAGCCTATCACACAGCGCCACCTCGGGCGAGCGAGTTCGCCTCTCAGCCACAGGCCCTTCCGCTGTACAACAGGGATGACAACACTCGCCTCCCGGGGCTGCTGGGAGGCGTACATGCGTCCCAACAGCCCTCTGGTGGGGCAAAGCTGCCTATGAAAATAGAGGCGCCGTTACCATTCGAGCACCCTCCCCTCTCACCTGCCTTTCCTTCCGCGCGTTAACTGCCACCTGCGCTGACCTCAGGTCTGTGTCTCTGTGGCCCTAGAAATGCCTGCTGTGCCTGGGGGCCATGGGGAAGAAGCTGGTGACGGCCCAGAGGCGGGGCGAGACCCGCGCCCTGTGCCTGGGCGTGGCCATGGTTGTGTGCGCCGTCATCGCCTACTACATCCTGGGCACGACCCTGCTGCCCCTCTACCAGAAAAGGTACCGACCCCTCCTGGCCCGTCCCCATCCTCCAGCCCCACCCCCAAGCATCGGGTCTGCGAGGGACCCCCAACTTCTCCCCCTGCCTTGACCCTCACACCAGGCAGGGGGGTCCGGACGATCCTCCCCCTTAGGATCAAGGATTCACGTGCAGGGGGCATCGGCCAGACTGGGCCCTGCTGCTCTTGAATTCTGGGACTTCGGGCTACAGACACAGGAGGCCCTTTCTGCAGGGAACACCGCAGGGTCGGGACAAACGCCCCAGTGTGCGTGTGATCCCAGGAGGAAGCAGAGAGTCGGAATCTTGCAGCTCATCTGCAGTTTGACTCCCTGCTAAAACCGCCTGGTCAGTGGGCACCTAGCCTTGTGTTGAATAGCTCAAGTGACGGGGAGCTCACTACCTCACTGTGCATACCTACTTTCTGATAAGCAGGGAGAGTCCAATTGAGCCCAAATATGCTCCCCTGGAGCTCTGCTCTGGAATCTCAGAGAATGTTCCATGCCCTTGCTCCCTGACATGTCAACCACGTGAACTTTTAAAGGGAATGCTGGGAAGCCTCGGATCTGTGCTCCATTTGGAACAAACACGCTCAGTTCTCTCGGCCTGTTCTCAGGATAAGGCTCAGACCCTTGCCTCCAGGCTGCCAGCCACTGGCCTGAGAGGTGGGAGAGGAGCCGCGACTGATCCGCTGCGGCTGTGTCGATGCGCCTGCCAGGCTCTCTCTCCTGGGCCGGCGCTGCCGCGGTTTCACTCAGAGCAGCCGTTTGCCCCAACACGGTGGCTAAAGCAAAGCACTCGCCCCGCCGTCTCCCCACTCGGCACAAACCACAGCCTCCTTCACTGACGCTTTTTAGGGAAAAGGGCACAGATTCCGAAGCCACCCTCACCGGATTTCAGGTCCTGTGCGGCCTCCGAAAAGTCCCGTGACCTTTCTGAGCCTCCCTTCTCCTCTCTGCAAGGTGAAGGTGACGGGGACACGCGGGCTCGGGCCCGGCTGCTCCTCGCAGTCACAGCAGGTCTTTTGACAACCTACCAGGGCCCGGGCCGCACCCAGCTCAGAGGTTCTGAGTCAGTGCTCTGGGGTGTGGCTCGGAAGATGCTGTCTGAGAGGCCATCAGCACTGACGACCTGAGTCTACGTTTCCTCCCCCGACCCCAGGGACTCTGGGTCAGGCTCCTCTAGTGCTGGGTGCTTACAGTACGGTGGGCACCCTAGTGCTGGGTCTCTCTAAAGGGGTTCAAACAGGGTGCTCTGTGCCACCCATGTTCTGAAACGTGTATGTGTATGTGCGATCTCTCCAGTGTGTGGACCCAGGAATCCACGTGCCACCTGATTGAGACCAGGATCTGGGACCAGGAGGAGCTGGAAGGCAAAAAGGTGGCCCAGTACCCGTGCCTGTGGGTCAACGTGTCCACTGTGGGCCGCTGGGCCGTGCTGTACCACACAGAGGACACTTGGGACCAGAACCAGCAGGTACTAACTGGGAGGGATGGGTACACGCCCCCTTACCCCTGGCCGGTGTGTGGGCCTGTCCCTAACTGGCTCCCTCTCTCCTCTCTGGAGAGTGGGGGCTGAGAAAGATGAACCCACCTGACCAGGGACCACAGCTGGCCTGAGGTCCAGCCAGACCTGGCTCTTGTGTGTTGGGACCAGGCAGACTTCAGTTCGAATCCTTGCTATGCCACTACCTGGCAGCGTGACCTGGGGTGGTTGACTGAGCCCCTCTGTGCCTCAGTTTCCACCTCTGCTGATGTTCTCTTATGAAGTCAGACACGGCATACAACGTGCCAAGCTTCCCGTCGAGTGGGTAGAGTGTACTGAAAAAGACGTGGCTGCTCACTCCATAAAGTGAGTCGAGTGAGGGGGCCAGGCCCAGAGCTGGCCCCACCGAGGGAATCCCCTGTGAACCCTCCGCCCCAGGAAACCAGGGGCCCAGGGCCGCGGCAAAGCCAACACTTGGGACCTTGTCTCATCACTGCCTCCCAGCATCCCTCCAGCCCCCAAGCCCCCCCTCGTAGTTCTTCCTAAAGGAAATACAGGTTGGCCTGTGTTCACTTGCTCATTCACCCACCCATTCATTCAACGGTCAATGAGCACGTCCTGTGTTAGGGGCTTCGGACTCAAGAGAAGAAGGCCCGTGTGGGGAAATCATACCCCGTAGGGTGGGAGCCGTGCCACAGAGGGGCCTGCAGGACGTTGTGGGGTTAAAGGAGGGAGGGACGTTTTCCAGCCAACAGGGAGGGAGGCGAGGGAATCAGGAGGGCGTTTGCATTAAGCTTTTAAATACCAGGCAGGTGCTGGATCCACACAAATGTGGAGGGGCATATAGATTGAGCGCAGGTCACAGAACAAGGCTGAAGGGAGGGCTGGGGACACAGGGACTCCAAGACCTGTACAGGCGCTGACACATGACGGAGTGCAGCAGGGACAGGCTGCAGAGGTGACTGAAGGTACGTTCCCAGGAGACCCCCGCCCTACCCAAGGGTGGAATGAAAATGTCGTGTGAGTGTGGTTGGTTCTGTTTTGTTTGAGAGAGACAAAACTTCACTGAAGAAAGCTACGTATGATCTATGTTAGTGCCCATATTTTAAAAAAATTATAGGAAAAACACTTTACTGAAATTGTTTTGCTAAAAAGACCATCTTCGAAGGATGTCCAAGAGATACTGCAAGCACAAGGCTGCAGGAAAAGAGAAGAGAATGTGGAGTTCCGGCCCAAGACACGAACGCAGCCCAGATTCTTTGTTAAGCTTTAAAAGTTCTGTACAAGGGAAGGAAATGGGGAAAGGGCTAGGCTTATGAACAACTTCCACTTGTTCATAAACACACACTGCGGGATAAGTGGAGGTTAATCCTGCCTATGGAGCAAAGGCCAAGGCCTTCTGGTCTCCATGCTGATGTCGCAAATAGCTAAATGGTTTTTAAAGAAACTCTGATTCCACACAGACTGGCAGCTCATCATGCTGGGCTCACGGCAGATGGAATTCCTTTGCACATGCACCAGAAGGAACAATTCACCCCAAATAATGCTCACGGAGCCGGTTTTCACAGTGAGTAGGGGTTGTAAGTGACTCCTGACAGAGTCCATCATTTCCTAGAAGAAGGTTCTACTGATTACCGGGGATTTAAATTCAAGAACACCAAAAAGAAGGGAAAACCCGATGACATTCTGGGACGGTGCAGGCTGTGTGCCTGTCGTCTCTGCGCCTGTCGTCTCTGCCAAGGACTAGCGAACTATGGAATTAAAACGTGATCACGCAAGTGGGGTCTCTTCAGCGCTGGCTGTGCATGAACCCCCTCCCGCCCACACCACGAGACTTAAGGAAGCCCGGCTCCCACACCTGACGGACGCGTACAGCGGCTCTGGGCTCTCTAAGGGATTCCGAGGTTGAGAATTAGCTGTGAGCCACCTGGAGTCTTTACTCCGGGCGGCGGGGCAGGGCCCCAGCACACGCCCAGGATGAGGGCTGGGCCGCCAGAAGGACGGATGCTGGCGGTCAGACTTCGGGGGCAGATGGGATGGGATGGGAAGGGGCCAGGCGGCTGGGGGGCCGTGGGATCACTGACCGTGCCGGGGGTTGGGGGTCGTGGAGAAGTCGGTCTGGACAGTGCGAGGTGGCCTGAGCAGTCGTGTCATTGTCCCTACAATGACTCAGCACCCCCAGCTGGGGGAAGAGCCTCCGACCCCCTGAATCAGCTCCCACCAGGACTCCTGCCTCTTCCCAGCCTTCAGTGCCCCCTGATTTAACCCAAGGAGCAAGAAGCACATTTTCAATGGCAGGTAGGCGTGATGCCCGGGGCGACAGGGGCTGGCCGCAGGCTGGCTTGCGGGCCACCTCCCTGGTGCTACGGGTGCCAGCTCAGAGGAACAAGAGGTCAAATCATCCCCTGAGATGAGCTGTCAGCAGCATGTCTGGCCCTGGAAGGACAGCGCTGGCTGGCAGCCAAGGGCTGTTCTGTCCCCGCTCCCGTCGCTCCCCGGCATCGCCAGGAGCAGCGCTAACGTCTGGCTGCTGCGCGGGAGGGACGTGGAAGCACCTTTGTGTTTCTGCCACTCGGCTGGGCCAATGGGCCAGCTGCCACTCTACTTTTGTTCAGCTCGGGGGTGCAGGGGGCCGGTGCTACAGGCCAGCTGGGTGTCATGTGACAGGCCCCTCTGTAAGAAGGGGAAGAAGGCGCTGTTGTTGCAGTATCGCAGTTAAGTCACAATATTATTGCTAATAATAACAACATCTCCCACTTGTCAAGCACTTACTATGTGCTGGGAGTTGTGCGAAGTGTTCACGTGCATCATCTCTTTTAATTCACACAATTCAACGAGGCAGACACCCTCCCAGAGCCAAGTCACAAGGCTCAGAGAAGTTACGGCACTTGCCAAGGTCACACATTTGGAACTGGTGGTTGAACCCAGGCCTGCCTGGCTCCATAACCACACGTGTTGCTCAGTGGGCTACGTTACCCAAGGTCACAGTCAGAGGCACAGGGGAGTCATGGGCTTGCTCCTCTCGGCCCAGGATTCTGAATCCACCTGCTAGTGAGACCCTGCAGTGCCCATCAACTCTGAATGCCGGATTCCTCAGGAGCCAGCTTCTCCCCAGCCGCAGCTGCTCCCGGGCTGGCTGGTGACCTACTTCTGGATGCAGCTCCCCTCTCCTGTCCCCCCCCCGCCCCCCCTTCCCAGGCTGTCAGGACTATGATGCAACTGGCCTTTGTTCTGCTGGGCTAGCACTGACAGCGGAGGCAGCTTTGAGGGAGGGGCCTCATTCAAATCTGGGAGCAGCTGAGGCCTGGGGAGAAGCTGGCTCAATGGCTCACGCATTTTGACCTTGGACATAATTGCTCTAGTCCAGTGGTCTCAAACTTTTGAATATGAAGGGATCACCTGATTCCTGGGCCCTACCCTTGGTGATTCAGAGGGCTAGCCCCCCCCGGGGGCGCTGCTGGAGGGGCAGCGGGGGTGGGGGGGAATATCAAGCTCACATAACGTCTCCCACAGGCTCGCATACACAACACTCAGACCAGAGATGGAGCCAGGGCCTGTGCTCTGTGTCTCCTCTGCAGGGCTCTCCAGCTGGGCCTCATGTGCCGGGGCCAGGGGTTCCACAGAAGAACAATCTGTCACAACTGAAGGTGCACCATGTTCTGCCTGCGCAACGCTCTTCTCGGTGCACCCTCTCTTTCCTGTGAATCCCAGGGTCTAATAGGTGTTGGCTGGCATCTTTTGTTTGGCTCACACCAGGGAAGACCACAAAGGTGTTTCAGTTTGAGTTTTTGCCAGTATTTTTTAAAGCGTGAGTGTTCACATTAAAATCTGGTTTTCTGGCTTCTCGTGAAATGTCAGAGGCCTGGCTACAAAGGTCTTCTGGGTCCCATGGTGTCCACTGTCCAGATGGAGTGGTGACTGCCAGCCTGGAGCCGGCCGGCTGTCTCCATTCCACCCGGCCCCGCCACTCCCCGACAGTTCTCCCTGGCACGGAGGCAAGCGGCACCTGTCACCTTAGTCCCTCACCCACGCCCCTCGCGGGCCTTCCCTGCATGGGCCTGTGTCACTCACTGTCACCCACTGGTCTCATTAGACAGTTAGGCTTGAAGTCCTTCTTTAATAACATCCTCTGAAAAAGCTATTGCTTTTAACCCATTTAAGGGAGGAAGCCATCGGGGCTCAGACAGGGTAAGTGATTTGTCTAAAGTTCCACAGCACTGGAGGCCAAGCCGGGACTCCGGCTGGGCCCCTGGCTCCAGGTGCCAGCCTGTCCCCCGGGCAGCCCGAGGGCCCCCGTGCTCACAGATGACACTGTGAAAGCACCCTCTGCAACCGTGCGGTGCACAGCCCGCCACCTTCGCCCAGCTCTGACTCCCAGCAGGGCCCGGCCCAGAGCGGGCCCTGCCCTTCGCTCCTGCCCGCCGCCCATCCCCAGGGCCTGAGAGACGGGGACGTCCCACCCACGGGAGCTCTTGCTTCTCCCCGCAGTGCTCCTACATCCCGGGCAGCCTGGACAACTACCAGACGGCCCGGGCCGACGTGGAGAAAGTCAGAGACAAGTTCCACGAGCACCGGGTGTTCTACTGCTTCTCGGCCCTGCGGGAGAACGAGACCCGAGTCCTGTACCGGCGCCTCTATGGGCCGCAGACCCTGCTCTTCTCTCTCTTCTGGCCCACCTTCCTGCTGACAGGCGGCCTCCTCATCATCGCCATGGTGAAGCTCAACCAGTCCCTCTCCATCCTGGCGGCTCAGAAGTAGACTCGTCCGCCCCCCAACACTGCCCAGGTTGCAGGGCACTGGGGGGCCCTGGGCTGTGCCCCACTTGTGTATCCATTTCTTCCCTCTGCCTTCCCACTACCCCCACCCCCAACCCCAGTCCATCCTGTCTTCCACTGCATGGGTGGCCTTTGGCAAGTCACTTTCTGCTCAAGAATGGACAGTGGCTCCCTAGTGCCTTGGAGAGAGCAGGCCAGCCGCTTGCAGCTCTCTACGACCTGTCCCCAAGCCACTGACTCCAACCCAGTGCCCCTCGGTCGACGATAACTCCGACCTCTGAGCTCTGTTTTCATGGCTGGCTCAAAGACCGGCCTGTCCTGTCCAGGGACCTGTCCTTGGCAAGCCTCCTGTGAATTTCATAATGAAAACAGCAGCTGCCATGTATAGAGCACATTTAGAATATCTCTTGTTTTTAGGACACTAAGTGCCATATCCATTTTTATTCCAGTACTAACAAATATATAAAAAATAACGAGATAATCAGGAAATATACCAAAATACACTGGAATATGAACAGTGGGATGGCGGTTAATTTTAATTTTCGTCTTTATCCCCTTTTTTGTTTTTGGTATTTTCAACAAGAGGAGGGTTTGGTTTAGCTGTGTTTATTTTTAATCAGAAGAGCAGCCGCAGATGTTATTTTGGGGAAAGTCTTAAAGGGCGAGCCCCGTCCCCAGGCAGGGGAGAGCGGGCTGGGCGGCCTTGCGCCCCCGTCAGGGAAGGCTTTCGGGCAGAGGTGACCGGAAGAGCCCTCTGGGGAGGGAGGTGACCGCACAGGTGGGGGCTGAGGCTGCAGGTAAATACAAGGGGGCACTGGCCCTGCTGGGAAGCCCTTCCCAGGTGAAAAGGGCAAAACTGGAGGAAGCCCACGCCCCCACCGTTACTACTCCAAGCAGCTTTGCTAGGACAGTGGTCCTCAAAGTGCGGTCCCTGGACCAGCGGCGGCGTCAGTGTTCTGCAGGGACCTGTGAGAAACGCACATTCCTGCCCCGCCCTTACTAGGCAAAACCCCCAAGGGCATGCGGTGTGGAGGCTTCGGGTGGGGTCAGGGCTGGAGGCTGCAGGGGGTTCTGACGTGAGCTCCAGGGTGGGAGCCACTGGTGTGGCGAATCGGTCACCGATCACTGTGCGTTTGGAATGGGCGAGTGCCCGCCGGGCAGGGCGGGTGCTGCGCTCAGTGCAGAGCCCGGCTGGCATCCCTGAAGCTCCCCGCAGAGCTCTGCTTTCTGGCCGCGGCCCCTGGGTGCGAGTCCTGCCTCGGCCCCTGCCAGTTGGCATCTCTCCACTTCCCAGCCGCTTCGTCTGTGAAAGACGGACCCTCCCTCTGGGCCACTGAGCGGCCTGAATAAGGGTCTGGCACATGGCGGGTGGCCAAGGAGGAGGCCATTGCCAATAATGATAAGCAATGAATACTCAGAAGCTTCCAGAAGAAATTATGCCAACGATAATGTTGACTAGCAGTTTAGGTGCCTATTTCTTGCATGCCAGGCACTATGCTACGCGGTTTCCCTTGTGAGAATTCAGAGAGATCTTGAACGCGTTATGGGGAGAAACACGGGACAGAGGGTACGTGTGTGGACTTGCAATGTGGGCGCCCAGGTTCAGACACCCAGCCCTGCGGTTCGCGAGCTGGGTGACTTTGGGCAAATAACTCCGCCTCTGTGTGCCTCGATTTCCTCATTTGCAAACTGAGAACTAGTAATAGCTCCCATTTAGGGCTCCTGGTATTAAATGAGCTATTATATAACGTTCCTAGAAGAGTGACTGAAACGCAGTAAGTGCTACTTAAGATATTCTGAAAAACCCAGGCTCTGAGAGGTCATCGGCCATGTAGCCAGTGCAGCCACCCAGCCGGTGAGAGGCTGGGAGTTAGGCCCTGCACTCTCCGATCCCAGCGCCTGGCCTCTCAAACGCAGGGCTCGATCCCACTCAGTTCATGGGCTCAGCGGGGGCGGCGCCCAAAGCGCCAAAGACAAGACACAGCGGTGCGACCTGGGAACCCGGCGGTGCCCTCGTGCAGGGCGGCGACCGGAGAGGCGGGCGCCCAGGGTGCGCGCCAACAGCTGTCGCCCCACCCGACACACCTCCACGCCCGCCAGGCTGTTACCTGACATTCCCCCCGAGGGGAGGCAGCACGCGGGTCCCCAGAGTCCCTTCCCTCCCGGGCTAGTCCTCCCCCTCCTTTAAGAAAGTCCCACTTGCATTATGTTCCTGCAAGCAGTTGCCAATGGGGAAGTTAGGTGAAAGCTACCTAGGATCTCTTTGTATTATTCCTTACAGCCGCATGTGAATCTGCAATTATTCCGAAAATTTAAGTTTAATTGTAACAAATGAAAAAGAAAAAGAAAGTCCCCACCGGAGTCTCTCTTAGAGAGGCTCCTGTGCACAGGGTCCCACGTACCTGCCTTTGGGGCCAAAATACACAGAAGCTCAGAATACCCAAGCCGTGTCCCTCCAGAAAGCTCGGTGCCCGGGGACACCCAGACCCCTCGGCCCCTTGCCTTATTAACCGTGACCTTCATTCTCTCGACACAAATGCCCACCTCCAGTCCCCACCTGCCTGCTGCTCACGAACTTCATGAGCAGGACAAGCGTGACATGCGGGGCAGTGAGGTGTGACGGAGTTAAGACGTGGCGGAAAAGTGTTTTGGGGAGTAACGGCTGCCTGGGAGCAGAGAGCGCTCATTCGTTCTTAGTAAATCACCCTGCTAACGAGTGTCCTGTGCCCGCACCGTCCTGCTTTCCCTCTCGTGGGCCGGTGACTTGCCCCCGGAGAGGCGCCCCTGGCTCGAGCTCCCATGGCCCTCCCCTGGAACTGAGGCCACCTGGTGGAGGCCACAGGCAGGGATGACCAGGTCACCGCCTGCCCCCAAGGAGCTTTCCCTCTTCTTGCCGCTCTCCCCACTCCCCCACCACCCGTCCCCACTACCAGGAAGGCCTTCCAGCCTCACAGGGAAGAGCTTACTCTATGCAAATTCAACACAGGCAACATAAACCAGCCACAAAAACCTTAATTCTTGTGACTTATTGAAATGAGGCTCTCCTCTCTCCAAATCAACGATTCATCCAAAATTTCTCCTAATTTCAAAACTGCTCGGGCGAGGGCACTCCATACCACATCCGTTCCGTGGCTAATTGGCAGCGCAGGTCGGTGAGCAAGAACGTCCGGTGTCCTTTGGATTCATCTTGCATTGGGGCGGGGGGAGAGGGGAGTTTGAACTACACGCAATACTTGCAAAGACACTACTTGAACAAGGGGCAGCTTCCTGTACCTCACCAGCCACTGTCCTTTCACATGGAGGGGCAAGAGAAAGAGCAAAGCCAGTTCAGAAAGACAAAAAGACGTCCACCACAGACCAGCCTAGCAGCTCTCCACGTGGGGCCCTGCAGGGTCCAAGCCCTTTCCCTAATAACGCCGCGATGCTACTTGCCGCTTTCCCTCGGCTTCTCTCACCAGCACATGCAGCGCATTTCAAACCTCACACGCCGCGGGGCATCTCAACAGGCTGGCTGTGGGAGCAGGTGCGAGACCCCCGCTGTCTTCTCCTAAGCCGGACTTTGAAGGGATTTGTAAAAATGGGAAACAATGCCGCTTTTCTCAATACTGGTTTTGTTTTGTTTTTTTTGGAAAATATAATTATTTCTCATAAAAGTGTTATTCTGTTAACATGCAATGAGCTTATTATTTCAAGATAAATGCATTTCCATTAAAAAGTCTTAGTTTTCATTTCTAACATAATAAATGTTAGTGGCTGTACCCCACAGAAACCAAATCTCTTTGGAGTTCTCTTTTAAGGTTGTAACAGGATTCCGAGACCAGAAAGTTTCAGAACTGTGGCTCAGCGTATCCAGACATGGGGTCCCTCTGTCCTTCCCGCACGTGCCCTGTGGACATCCAAAGACCTCCCCAGGGAGTCGTCAGATTCCCACGGGGGGCCTGGAGGAGGGCTTCAGTTTCCCACCACCCCCGGGCTCCTGGCTGTCTCCTCCACGGGTGGACTAGTACAAGGATTATCTTCCTACCCACGGGCGCCTTCCCGGGTCTCCGTCACGTCAGCTCCAATACAGAACTCAGCTTCCTCCTGGATTTCCACAGCTCCCCCTCCCCCATAAATAAAGCACACGCTCACCAGCCAGCTCCTGACAGGCTTGGGGAGGAGGGGGAGGGATGTGTACAGGTGCAAAGTAAATGGCTCCTGCTCAAATGTAGGGCGAAGTGGGCGACTCATCGCCAGGCTCGCGGAGTCGAGGGTGACTGAGGAAGGAATCTCCAGAAATCTCCATCATCTCGCACCAAGCTCCCTGGTTCCTGACACACATACCATAAAAATGGTAAAAAAACGGGCTTGCTAAGCACAGGCAGCTGGAAGGCAGGCCTTCCCTCCCTGGGGCCCTCCTCCCTCGGTTCCGAAGCCCTTGCTACTCACCTCCCCTATGACTCCTTACATTCAGATACAAACCCACGTTCTCCGGGGTCAGCGGCTCTTTAAAGGTCTCTCATCTGGCGCTTGAACCCTTCCATTCCCCTGGAGTGACAATCCGTATCAACATCTCTTTAGACAGATGACTCCGCACCGGGAGGAGGCCACTTCCATTTGGGGGTATGTCTAGCAAATCCCTCCCTGTGCGATCACCTGTCGCCTCTGAGAGTAGTAAGAGCTAACATCAGCCCAGCACCTGCAGGCCAGAATCCGGGCTACGCTCTTACAGGCACAGCACAACACCCTTCTGGTTACTATCACTACCTCCACGTGCAGTGGCGAGGCAAGAGGCGGACGGAGGGGCTTACCCTGCGGCAGGAGAACTTAGCGAAGAGCAGAGCGGGGATCCATACCCGGAGGGCACAGCCCCAGACTCGCCTCTCTGCCCTCGGTGCTTCCCGCCCCTTGTCTCTGCCCCCGTCAACTGCGGAAAAACGCCCGGCAGGGCAAGGTTGGTGAAGGCCTCCACATGCCTTCCCACACACCTGCCCAGGCTCTAGGGTGGCTTCCTGGGGCCACGCCTCCGAAGAGGTAACAGATATGGGTGAGGCCCAAACAGACACGTCCAAAAAAGCCCTCTGAAGGTTCTGATGTGGGCACTGCCAAGACAGACAGGGCCACGCGTCAGCTACGATGTGCCTGACCCCACGCTCACTCAGCCCACAGCCACCGGACGCCTGCAGGAACCCGGGCGTGGCACGGCCACAGCCCCCCCTGAACTGGTCACCCTATTAAAAGGCAGAATGGAAGAGAGGCTGGTCTGACATGACTTTTCTCAGACACCTCACCCTTCTCAGTCACCCCGCTTTCCCTTCCAAGTGTCCCCAAACCATTGGTTTAATAGTCCGCTCTAGAATTTGTCCAGGAGTTGACGGTTTGTTCATTGATATATAAGTTTAGAATCTTGCACTATCATTAATAAAAATTGGGCCACATGACACCTTCTTGGTCTCTAATTTTTCTATGACTCCGTTGACCACACAAGTT